AAACTTTGCATTTCTAGATTCCACAATTCTTGTGGTATGGGAAGGACAGTAAAACTTATATCCCTTAGACATTTCAGCATATCCAATAAAATATGCACCAATAGTTCTAGGGTCCAACTTCTTCTCCTGTGGATTATAAATCCTAACCTCAGTTGGACAACCCCATACTCGTGTATGATTTAAACTTGGTTTCCAACCTTTCCATAACTCAAATGGTGTTTTACTAACTGCCTTAGTTGGAACTCGATTTAAAATATACACAACTGTTTTAAGGGCTTCACGCCATAGAGATTTATGAACTTTAGAATTATTGAGCATACTTCTTACCATATCCATCAAAGTCTGATTTCTTCTTTCGGCTACACCGTTTTGATCCGGTGAACCAGGCATAGTATATTGTGCTACAATCCCATGCTCTTGAAGAAATTTTGCAAATGGACCAGGTGCTTGTCCACTTCCCGTATATCTTCCATAATATTCCCCACCTCTATCAGATCTTACGATTTTGATTTGTTTTCCACATTGTTTCTCTACTTCTGCTTTATAAATTTTAAAAACATCTAAAGCTTCATCTTTGTTATGAAGCATGTAGAGATACATAAATCGTGTATAATCGTCAATAAAAGTGATGAAATATTTTTGACCAGTTGAGTACATGTCAGGGCAACAAATATCAGTATGTATTATTTCTAATATACCAGAACTCCTCCTAGCACCCTTTTGGTACTTGTTAGTGTGTTTGCCTTTTATGCAATCTACACAAGTACTAAAATCAGTAAAATCAAGAGATTCAAGAACCCCCTCATTTACTAAATTCTTTATTCTCCCAATGGAGATATGTCCTAATCTTCGATGCCATAACATGGAGGATTTTTCATTATTGACACTACGCTTAATTCCAGCATTACCATGGGTAGCTATTGAAACAAATGGAACGTTATTGCTATTGCTTAAATGAATTTTAAATAAATCACCTTCCAGAGTACCATTACCAACAACACTTGAGTTTTTCAAAATATTAATAATATTATCATAAAAATTGATATGAAATCCTTGCAATACAAGTTTTGAAACTGAAATTAAATTCTTAGAAAAATCTGGAATATAACATGTCATTTCCAAATCTAAAACAAAACCAGTATTTAAAATTAGCCTATAAGTTCCAATAACAGCAACATGTGAACTCATCCGATTGCCCATATAGATGTTTAATTCACTCCCCATCGGCTTTCTTTGGTTTAAAAAACCCTGCATGGTATTAGCAATGTGAATTGTAGCACCGGAATCAATCCACCAAGTGTCGCGTGAAATTTCAATTAAATTAGATTCAAAACATACTAAGGGAGTAAGATTACCTTTCTTCTCAAGCCAAGCCTTTCGTTTCGGGCAATCCTTCCTCATGTGTCCCTTCTTTTTACAGAAGAAACAACGGGCTCCCTCCTTATTTTCAGAACGAATAGGTGCGATACATTTTCCCTTCTTTTTATTGGCTCGCTTTTTGTCCTTGTCGTTTGTCACCAAACATGCACTTTCACCATATTCCTGAATCAATCTTCCTTCTTCCTGGACACACATGGCCAGTAATTCATTAATCGACCATTTATCCTTATGTGTGTTGTAGGAAATTTTAAAAGGTCCATATTGGGATGGAAGTGAGTTTAAGATAAGATGCACCAAAAACGACTCGGATATCTCAATCTCCAATGACTTCAGTTGAGCAACTATGTCCCTCATTTGCATTATGTGCTCACGCACACCTTTGAAGCTGGTAAGTTTCATCGATGATAACTGCCCCATTAAGGTACTTGCAAGTGATTTATCCGACCACTCAAATTGTTCATCAATAGCCTTCATGTAATCCTTGATATTTGTACACTCAGGAATAGATCCACGAATACTAGGCGTAATGCGAGACTTGATAAACATCATGCTCAAACGGTTGGATCGCTCCCACCGTTCGTACAACGTTGTCTCAGCTTTAGTGCTGGTATTTGTGGGCATAGGTGGTTCTTCCTTTCGAAGAGCATAGTCAAGGTCAATGCATCCCAAATGAAGAAGAAATTTCTCCTTCCAAATCTTGTAGTTGTCACCACTCAAACAGGGAATTTCAGATGCATTATCAGATTTTACTAGTGCTGCAAATAAATAAAATTAACATCATGCTTACAGTTTAAAATAAAATAAGGCTCATCTTTCCATCCTTGTGTGATATGCTTTCACATGCAAGTTATATCCAATAATAACATGAATTAGTGTGTCATTAAATCTACCTGTGGGCAAAGACCTTAACACACAATTATTCCATACTTTGTCTGTTACGGTGGAACTAAAAAAAATATTAATATTTCTAAATACCTGTGGGCTAATTGAGAAATAAACTAATTTTCTAGTCCACCTTAATTATAAAGATTGACACTGGCCTCTCCTGTGGGATAAAGTTAGTATAACAATAATTTGATATTCAATATGTGACCCAATTACATTAAGTGCAATTGGACAATTAAGATGCTGTGGCTAGTCTTTAATTATTCAAATACACTCATCACATGATATCATACAACTTGTCCAAGAGATAATATAAATTACATATTATACACAACAGATAGAGAAATCTATTACATGTATAGCTAGATCATAACACTGTATCAAATAGAATTTCAAAGCACCCATCATAATTAATTAAAAAAAAAATTTATTTCGAACGAGATAAAATAAGAATAATAGATTCCAAACAATTGAAAGTTTGGATAATGATTCTCATGGTTTTATATATATATTCGGGAAATACTGTTTTTTCTAAAATGATTTTCAGATTAATTTTGGAAATCAAAATCACGTCATGGTTAGGCAGAGGATATTGTTCTGCTCTGATACCACATGTAAGTTATTTAATACATAAAACACGGAAGCGTCATAATTAGGATTCAGTTACATACCTCCAGCCATAGCCAACGTCTGAATAAGAATTCAAGAACTTTGTTGTGGGTACTTCTAATCTAAAACAATTTGCAGTGATGGAGACGGGTTTGCATAAATTGCATAGATTAGGGACCCCAACTAAATGGTGTAATTCATCGAATTTCAAGTGATTTTAAATTTCATAACCATAAAAGCAAAAACGATAAATTCGACGACTAATCATTCAACCATTTAATTTATCCTCCAAACAGAAAAATAAGATGCACTATTATGGGATCGGGTCATCGAAACGTCACGTGCATGAAACCAAAACAGAGGCCATAAAAGAATCACCAACAATGACATCACATTTTACGATGAAAACAAACAATTTATTGCATGTGATAATTGAATGCAATACAATAAACAAACACACGCGGGCGAAATCTTACCCTCCAGCGCTTGAGCGATTCATGGGAGGCATTTTTGGTGTTGGCAATGTCGAAAGGATCAGAGAAATCAGGATCGCTGCCCCCATCCACCCCCATCAACGCCAGCGGACACTACAAGAAAATGCAAAATAGGCAACGATTTCTTTATCGACGAAATGAATTCCGTTGCCAATAGTTATATTTGAGCAACGAAATATAGTATTTGTGGCTAAAGAATAACATTTTTGTAACAAGATATTTTTGTTGCCTTTGAATCTCATAGGCAACGAAACATATTGTTGTGAATAGTATCGTATATATTTTACAACGAATTTAATGTAAGACAACAACTTTATTGTTGCAAAAGAGTATTTCTTTTTGCTACGATACAAAATTGTAGTAAATACATTTACAATGGCAACAAATTTATTTTGTTGTGAATAAGTGACGAAAGACAACAAAATATTTTGTTGTAAATGCTCCAAGTGATTTGACAACAAAATATAATCGTTGTAAATTTAAAAACCAACTCTTTTTCTTCATTTTAATTATATATATATATATATATATATATATATATATATATATATATATATATATATATATATATATATATATATATATATATATATATATATATATATATATATATATATATATATATATATATATAATAATATGTTAAGAAAAATCTTATTTGTTTATATTAACTACAATAACTCATAATTTTTTTGTTAAGTCAATTGTTGATATGATTTTAAAAAATTACTATATATAATTAATGGTAGATGTTATATTTATAATTAAATTTTATTGTAAATTATTTTTTGAACATAAAATACATATAGTAAATTATTTGTTATGACATATTATTTATTTATGTAGTTATTTTAATCATTTGATCTTGTGTATTTAGTTTTTATAAATTTATTTTCAGTTAGTTTACACAAATGTAGTGTTGCCCCAGCGGTTTGAAGGGTGTCTAACTTCAAATCAACCAGAGTTCGACTCTTACCATTGTCATATCTCCATATATTTGACATTTATCAAGCGGGTTAGCTTATTGGGCTAATCATGAGTTTAACCCAACAATTCCGACTCTGAAGCGGTTCGGCGGTCTAAAGGTCGGGTCCGCAAATGCGGGTTGGCGGTCCAAAGGTCGGGTCGGCAGATGCGGGTCGGTAGTCCAAAAGTCGGCTGGCGGGTGCGGTCGAAAATAAGTCATGTATTGGCAACAATAAATATGTTGCAACGAAATACAATTTTGTTCTTAATGATTAATGTTGGCAACGATTTATGTGTTGCAATGACATAAATTCGTTGTTATTAATAAATATATTGGCAACGATAGATTTGTGGCAACAAAATAAATTCGTTGGTAGTAATCAAAGAATTTGCAACGATAAATGTACGGCAACAAAATAGACTGGTTGTTATTACTTAATGCATTGGCAACGATCAATATGTCGCAACGACATAACAATGTTGTCTATAATGCATTATTGGCAACGATTTGTAACATTTCGTTGCCCGGAACTTTTGGTGACAAGGAAACGGCAACGAAGGTGGCAACAAAATAATTTTGTTGCAAGAGGAGTTTGCAACAAAATTAAAGTCTTTTGGCAACAAAACATATTGTTGCCAATTTGACAATTTCTTGTAGTGGAAGGAGTCGTCGGTCTCCAGGTCGAGGTGCGATGCAGCTTCATTGCCGTAGTCATATCGACGGTGGCTGGGGGAGGAAAAAAAATATGAGTAAGAAACAATTTATGTTTATTTTTGTGCAAAACTGAAACACCTATTTTTACTTCACCTACAAAGAAGAAGAACCACTGTAGTTGTACAACGCAAGAACATGTATAATACAAACTTTTTCACTCCACCACCGCCGGAGCCATGAATATTTGCGCTAGGCCCGGAATTAACAGAACCACCAGACCCTCCTCTAATAAACACAGTCTTGAAGCCCCTTTTACGGCGCAATTTGCAAATCTGAAACTGATCCACCAAATTAGAATCAGAACTACAAAAACCCTAAACGAAAACAAAAGAAAAAAAGCACAGACAAGATAGATACGTAATTAGAATCAGTACCCATAACGAGGATTTAACATGAGTTTTCCAGTAATTAATGAAAGAAAGTTGAAAGAATCAGTAAAATAAGTAAATTTAGTGTTCTAACCTGTGATAGTAACCAAAGGGTTATCCAAGAATCGCTGTGATAGTAACCAAAGGGTTATCCAAGAATCGGAAAAAGGTTGAATCTTGGAACCGGTTGAATGCGAAGAGAAAAGATGAAAGCTGGTTCTGAAAATGCAGAAAACCCATATATGACAGCCCAGAAATTGAAAGGCCAGAAATTGAAGATAGAGACGAGGAGGACGGCGACGCATACTATTGGAGGAAAAAAGCGGTGCCGTGGTACAGGTGCCTCGGGTGGAGCGGCGGCGGGGCGGCAGACTAATCAACGGCGGAGGTCAACAAATGTTGGCGATGGCAAAGCGGCGTCGTTTCTCAGCAAGCAGAATTAAAAAAAATCGAAAATCAAGCATACACGACACGGTCGAGCTGCTTGGAAATTAAATGGAAAAGAAAATATTTAGACACGCTCATTGGATGGAGGGGTTGGAACGGCAACGTTTCACAATTAAATGGGGCAAAAGAAAAGAAGAAAGAAAAGGCAGTAAAAATAAAAGGCAGATCCCCATATATATATACTTTTTCTCAGCAAGCAGAATTAAAAAAAAAAATCGAAAATCAAGCATACACGACACGGTCGAGCTGCTTGGAAATTAAATGGAAAAGAAAATATTTAGACACGCTCATTGGATGGAGGGGTTGGAACGGCAACGTTTCACAATTAAATGGGGCAAAAGAAAAGAAGAAAGAAAAGGCAGTAAAAATAAAAGGCAGATCCCCATATATATATACTTTTTCTCAGCAAGCAGAATTAAAAAAAATCGAAAATCAAGCATACACGACACGGTCGAGCTGCTTGGAAATTAAATGGAAAAGAAAATATTTAGACACGCTCATTGGATGGAGGGGTTGGAACGGCAACGTTTCACAATTAAATGGGGCAAAAGAAAAGAAGAAAGAAAAGGCAGTAAAAATAAAAGGCAGATCCCCATATATATATACTTTTTCTCAGCAAGCAGAATTAAAAAAAAATCGAAAATCAAGCATACACGACACGGTCGAGCTGCTTGGAAATTAAATGGAAAAGAAAATATTTCGACACGCTCATTGGATGGAGGGGTTGGAACGGCAACGTTTCACAGTTAACTGGGGCCAAAGAAAAGAAGACAGATAGGGCTGTAAAAATAAGAGGCCGATCCCCATATGTGTATACTGTTTCTCAACAAGCAGAATTGTGAGAAATCGACAATCGAGCGTACTCGACACGGTCGAGCTGTTTGGAAATCCAGTGCGCTAAGAAACTATTTAGACATGCTCATTGGATGGAGGG